ACGACGACGGCGGCGACCACTTGCCGAACTTGAAGTTGCCAACTCCACTGCTCGCGCAATCGCCCCACCCACCCGCCCGCAATTTGGTTTGCAAAACCCATTCGTGACCGATTGCGATAAGTGCTGGGTGTTGGCTGGTGCATCTCTGCGGCCGCGCCAGCCCGCGCATGCTCGCGCGCGCAGCGGCCAGCCAGTTTGGCGCGACCGACGCGAACGCGGTGGTACTGACGGCTCGGCACATCCCACCGGGCACTCGAGTGCGAGTCGGCGGCTCGGCCGGGCGCGGTGTCATGGCAACGTCGACGTTGGTAGACACGATGGTTATAGTGGCGATGCGGATTGCGATGCTGACAGCGACGACGGGGCAGACAGTGACGGCGCCGATGCTGATCACGCCGACGACGATGACGGCGTCTTCGCGTCGGTGATGAAGGTTTGGGAAGGAATTCGACATGTTCGCGCGAGTGGCTCGCATTGTATTATTCGACACCGATCGTGCCACCCCAGCACGCGCGAAAGGGCGTTCGAACGATTTCGACATGCGCGCGCGCGACGCCCGTTAGGTCGCATTTTAAGGAACTGTTGAACATGTTTTTCTGTTTTTTTGTTTTGTTGTTTTTGCTTGCGCGAATCCGTGTTGCGATAGGACATTTGTAGTAACAAATCCGACGCGTAGAGTTTTTGAAGTATTTTGGCATGCACGCGCGACGATGCGCGCGTGTGCACATTGTCCCGTTTTTTGCAAAGGATTCATGTGCAAACTTACGGTTTTTGATAAACGAGTGTGCGCGCACAGTTTTTTTGCGCGAGGGGAACGAGGGGGTGGCGATACCGGCTTGGCTGGGATAGTATGAGTTCACATGTAGGATAGACATTGGGTCAGAATCATATGTGTTTTGCATCGGTTCCCCAGGAGTCGATCTGTCGGGGGGGGAGGGTGGTACAACCGATTGTTTCAAACAGAAATGAGAATATATGTGGGCGGCGCCGGCGACAAGATAAACCGCCAAACCGACATTCAGGCCCATTCGGCGGGTGGCGACGCGGCGGCGACGAGGCGGCGACGGGGCGGCGACGGCGACAACATAGCCGCCAAACCGAAATTCAGGCCCAGTTCCTTAGAAAATAAGTGCACACCACTATTTTTGGCGATTCCATGTTTTGCCATCTTTCCCGGAAAACTCGACGGAATGCGTCGGAAAGCAAATGTTTTGTACGGATTATCGTGTCTCGCGTAGCCGAACTCCTCTAAGGAACACGATGGGCGTCCGCCATGGCACCACGCACGCGTTCAGGGCTCCCTTGCACTTTTTGGAATTTGTTGGGCTCACGCCGTATCAGAGTGCGTGCTCGATTTTGCCACTCCCGAACCAGAATGGCCGTTAGCACCATTTGAGCTCCTTGATCGTGCAGCCTTTGCTGTGGACCTCCTTGAGAGAGTTCTTGACGGTGTCCGACTCACACATGGGCGTCGTAGCTACGAGGTGCAGGATGTTTTGCTCAGGCAATATCTGACTAGTCGTCTTCTACCGTTCGTCGCAGTCTACCTCGTCTACCATCATGCTGTCGTCGTTGTGAGGTCGCTCCTTCGGCGGCTCCGTACAGTCGCGAGCCCAGTACCCATTCTTATCACAACGTAGGCACGTTGATAAGGTGCTCGGGGCTGGTTTGCTCGCTGCGTTTGTTCGTTGTGCTGCGTTCGGTTGCGGCCGAACGTGAAAATTTGTCGGAGGGGATTGATGCTTTCCTTTCCTGCCTCCAGCACTGCCCTTTGATGATGATCGTCCGCTTTCGGACTGACCCTTCGATCTGCCTCGTCCCGCTGACTTGCCCTTGGTCTGAGATTGGCCGCTGCTGTTGCTGCTAGGGTCAACAGTCGTCACGACTGGGTAGAACCCTCGAGACACACGTAGGTCATTGAACCGCTTCCTCGCGTCCGTGTAGGCCGCGCATACGCAGTCGAACTCGCCGACGTAGTCCTGGCTGACGTTGAGGTCGCGCTGGTAGTAGGCCTCGTCACAGTCGTACCAGGTCTCGGTTTCCTCGGCCCAATACTGCTGCTCGTACCAGTCCGCGGACCCCGGCTCGCTGTGGTCCGAAACATGGTGCTCTTTCAATTCTGGGTAATCTTTATCTTCGTCGACGCAGTGCTGCTTCCGTGGATGGTTCGTCTCGTGTATGGTGCGCTTTGTCCGAATCGTCTCGAGCGCCTCGACGTCTGTATCCCGGGTGGTGTCCTCACCGACGCGGACATGACCACGGTTTTTGGTTGATAGTTGGGCGTCGTGAGTGTTGAGCTTCCGCTGCTGCTCTTACTCGTGAGGCGTAGGAGAACAGCGCCTCGCCCTTCATCCGCCCCAACTTGTAGAACTATTCGAAATTGCCTGCCAGCTCCGTTCGGTCGTACATCTTACGTCGTTTCCGTAGCTTGTCCATTAGCTTGGATGTCGCACCTGGCTTGGTCAGGTCGTCGGGTGATATGTCGTCTATGTCGTCCCAGGGTTCTCCAGTAAGGCCCATCGCTAGTAAAAGAGCTGCTTCGCCCTCCTTCTTCGCAAGGGTTAATTTCGCCAGGAATCTGGTCGTGCGCTTGTGGTACTCTTCCCATGTGCGGAGCGCTCGTTCGAAGATGGGAACCCTTCTCTCTCTCTGGGAGGGCCGCTAGTTCGTCAAATTATGCATATCAGCCACCTTTCGCCATCGTGATGACAGAGGCTGAGGTGTGTGCCCGCCGCCTCAAAATGGTATTGACTTTGGGAAACGGACTGGAGTAGAATACTGGTTTGTAACAGCGATCCGCGAGTGCGGCGGTTCCCATCGGTTGCCGTACGGGTGCTGGAATCTGAAATTTTGCGGACTTGCGCCCGCTGGGTCTGGTCCCAGGTCATTATTATCAAGAGGTGTTTGGCAAGTTCTGGGTTCTGTCCATCCACCTCACAGGGTCCTTCTCTTCGGAAGAGCGGCGCTGGGGCGCGAGGGCGATCGCGCCTCGACAATCTGTGCTCGGGCGCAAGGGCGCGGGGCCCCATTGGCCCTGGATTGCGTCCCTTTCCCTCTGCGCCCAGCTCCGCTGGTCCCTCCTCGTCTCCCTGCCTCCTGCCCCCTCTCCTTTCCAGGGAACGATGGAGGGAGCGGGAGCGGGTGCAGGTAATGGAGGGGGACCAGGAGCAGGTGGAGGGGGAGGAAGAAGGAGGCAGAGGAAGAGGTGGCAGAGGAAGAGGTGGAGGAGGAGGAGGAGGAGGAGGAGGACGAGGAAGACGAGGAGGAGTAGGAGGGCGAGGATGAGGTCAAGGGCGACGTGGAGTAGAAGGAGACTGATAGCGACTCTTGGCGCTGCTTTCAGGCAGCGTCGGGAAGCTCTTCGGTGAACTGGTTTGCAAATGATTATATTCAGATATGTTCCAGATGTAGGATGGAAAGACGAAGAGGTGAGAGTCGGGGTCTGGCGGGACGAGAGAGCGAGTATGTGATCACGGGGGTGTTTATCTTGTGCCGGGTCCTGACGTGAGAGTGTCCAGGCTCTTCTCGTGGCGCTCTTTCTTGTCTCGATCTCAGATTTTCCTTGCCTTCTGAAGTGGAGAAGGATCTCGCAGCAGTTGTCGATGGATAATCCCCGCGCGCAGCGCCTCCTGGCTCGAGGGGGGATTCACTCCCCAGCCTCCGCGGCGCCTGAAGTCTGGTCATGCCAGAGGGTGCCTGCGCTGGGTGGGCTGGGAGATAGCCGCGCGCGCGGCCCCGTCTTCCCCCACTTCTCCCCCGCTTCCTCGCCGTCCTCCCCTCCTCCTCCTCCTCCTCCTCCTCCTCCTGATTCCTCCTCCTCCTCCTCCTCCTCCCTCCTCCTCCCTCGCCCCCTCGCCCCCTCGCTCTCCCTCCACCGTTCACGCTACGCCTCCACATCTTCCTCCCCCCCTGCTGTGGCATGAGAGAATGATGGTCCTGAGGCGAACGGGTCCTGGACTCCAGGGCTTCCGCCAGTGTGCCTCCGCGTGTCCGCGCTTCGGAGGATGGGCCCGAATGGCCATGACAGTCCCCACGGAACAATGAATCTGGTGTGACTCCAAGTAGTTCGTTCTTCTCACAAAGCAAATCAACAGAGTTCTGAGAAATGCAAAGCACTGCGATATAAGGCATTGCTTGGATTTGTTTGGCATTGATTTGCGTTGCTTGGCATAGCTCGGTATCGTTGCTTGACATAGTTTGGCATTGCTTGGCATCGCTTGGCGTTACTTGGCATTGCTTGGCATTGCTTGGTGCTGCTTGGCGCTGCTTGGCATCGCTTTGCATCGATTGGCACTGCTTGGCATTGCTTTGGATTGCTTCACACTGCTTGGCGTTGCTTGGCACTGCACGTGCAACCCTGAGCTCCCCTAGGCGAGCAGCTGGGTGAGGCTGGGCCCCGCCTCTGACGAAGGACATCGTACCCACCGGTGTCTTCCACAAGCAAATAGGAGCCCGTTAGGCAAGCCGAATGGGGAAAACAGCGAGCGCGCGCTCGCGCTCGAGTGCTTGGTGAAGGGTTTCAACAACTTGTTTTCTGCGCGCGCGTCGAGGCCTGCACCCTCCTCGTCCTCTCGCCTCCTCTCATCCTCTTCTCCTCCCCTGGTCCCCTCCTCGTCCTTGTCCTCTTCCTCGTCCTCGTCCTCATCCTCGTCGTTGTCGTTAGCGTCGTTCTCCTTCTCTTTTTTCCCTCCCGCTCCCGCTGACGTTCCTGGAGACCGGATGGGGAGAGGCAATGGATCAACCCAACCCAGAGATTTGACGTCTTGATTTTTTCAAGGTTGGGTGCCTGGAAGGCCCGAGCCTTCCCCCAGGGTCAGCGGGGGCACCGATGGCGGGCGGCGGCGGCACGGCGAATGGAGGGCGCAAAGGAGGAGGTTCGCCCGAACTCAGGCCCTGCGCGGCGTTTGAAGAAGGCCCCCCCTTTTTGCGGAAGTCAGCTTTAGCGCATTGTGACCATGATCGCGCGTGGCAGGCGGGGCACCTTCTGCAACCGCGCGCAGGCGCTGGCATGGCGTTCATTCTGCCAGTGCGCGTGCCAGTGCGCGGCGCGTCATCGCCTGCGGTGGGCGTCTTCACGTGCGCAGTGCAGTGCTTCTCGCTCGTGGCGCGGCATCGCCCGTGAGTGCGCTCAGGCCCTGCGCGGCCGTCTTTCTGCGCGTGCGTAGCGTGTCTTTGCCCGTGGGTGGCAAAACAAAGCCCCTCTGTTGCCGGTTTTCTGCCCTCGTGCAGTGTAGGGTTGCAGGCGCTTGCTTGGGCGTTACTCTGCCCGTGCGCAGGTGTTGTTACCCAGCCATGGCAATGTATCGCCTGCGTGCGTGTTCAGGCCTCTGCGTGGCCGTATTCTGCATATGCGCGACACGCTGTGACCCGCGCCTGGCGTTCTTGTGGGTTCTTTGTTCTGCCCTTGCGTAGAGTGATGATGCCCGTGCGTGGCATGGCGTCGCCCGTGGGCGGGCGCAGGCCAACGCAATCCGCCTGGCGGCGGATTCTGCTGCTGTGGTGATTAGGACAATACGGGTGGCGCTGGCATGCTTCCAACGTCAGATGAGTGACCCGCGCACCGAGATCGCAAGGGCGCGCGCCGCTGTTGCATCGCGCGATGCGGGGCAGGCATGGGCCCGGGAAGCCCGGGGCAGCGCCCTGTTAGGGTCGCGCCCCCGCTCGCTGCCGCAAGTCAGCAGCGGCTTCGAGTGCTGGGTAAAGTTTGCGCGTGAAGAATTGGAGACCAGGGGCAGCCACCGCCGTCGGTCGACGGCCTCCTGCGTTGGTCAGCGACTTCGATGTCGTGCGTCGTTCCGCAATCATCGGTCGCACCGTAAGAAAGCTTGCCGCGTCGCGCGGACGTCGGACGCGGCCTTCTCGCGCGCGTCACAGGCGGGGGCTAAGGTGGCCATCGAGAAAAGATCGGGCTGGTCAGCGCGGCCCCGCATGGCAATCCGCATGGACATACTTGTGCAGCTGCTGGAGCGCCCCTTTTGCGTTGCCAGCAAAGAGCAGCCTGGGCATGCTGTTCGCGGTGTCGCGGGCGTTTCTTCTTCGTCTCCCTTTCGTGCCGCTTTCCACTCAGCGAGCCGCTTGGCTCGCCGACGTCTCGCAGCTGTGCGCTGGCCTGTTTGTCAACGAAACACCGCCGTACTATCTCTCGCGAGACGACAGAATCGTGACGGCCGGACGACGCTCGCGCGCGAGTGCTGGTGCAATCGTTCGCGCGCCGCGTGTCCAGTGCGGGCCCTGGGCGCGTGCCTGAACTCTTGGCCCGAAGGTGGCGCCCCGGGGGCTGGTTGGCGCGCTGGATGCGTCCGTCGGCGTTAAGGGAGGCGCTGCGTCACGCGGGTGCTAGCGACCCCGACGTCTATGGTATTATTCCGGTCAGAAGGGACCATGCGCAGGACATCGTAGTGTTCGATGGCTGCGTAACCGATATTCTCAAAGCGGGCGACTGGCATATGCAATGTCTTGGCGTCGAGAAGATAGAGCGCCAAGCGGATGCCCTGACGCAGTGCGTCGCATCGTCCAGTGACGACGAACCAGAGGAAAGGGCTCCTCCGGCGTCTTGTGACGCCGAGCGCACGGTGAGTGCAGTTCCAGTTTCGCCCGGCCCCTCTCGCGCTCGCCCGCGTGCGTCTTGCCCGTCGCCCGCCCTCTAGCGTACTGCGGTCCTGCTTCCGCTTCTACGCCTGGCATTGGGTGCTAGCGGACCCGTTGGGTGCAGCGGGCGCGCTGGGGCAGTGCGTCGGCCTCGGCGCCTGGGGCCGCGGCTTTGGGCATGGTGCCCGTGTGATTCGACCAGCGCCCTGACGCGCCAACCGCCAGCGTCGGCCGACGCGGCCGATGGCAGTTCGGCCTGGGGGGCATCCGGCCGCGGCCCCACCCGGCGAAAATTGGGTGGCATCGCAGTCGAACGCCGCCGAGCAGGAGACTTATGAACAGCTGCCCAGATGGAGGGCGTTCTTGTTGATTTGTTTGTTTGTGTGTTGTGCAATTTGGGGATTTCGCTTGCGGTTTCTTCAGCGCATCGCACTTGCTGACGCTGCGCGGATGGAGGCGGTCCCGCTTCAAAGCTGGGTTCTCGCTTGAAGAGTCATTAGGTTTCTGCGGTCGAAAGTCTCACGTCTGCAGCGATGGCAAAGATGGAGGGCGGGCCGTTGTCAAAGCGGGGCTGTCGCTGGACGCATCCTTCAACCTTTGTCTTCACCTCGTCGTATTCTTAGTACTTCTACGGGGGAAGGGCAATCCTGTTTCTTCTCAAAACGTGGATCCCGCTTGAATTGTGGGCCCATGGTGCCCATAGGGCCCTATCCTTCAAGGGGGTGCTTCGCGCGGCCGCGGTTGTGTGTTCCATCAGCGTTAGTGACTGGATTCACTTCTGACGTCGAACGCAACTTCGACTGAGAAACGTGCTCTGCGATCGACTGCGACAGGCCAGCAACGATTTGAGATTTTTGAGGAGTAGCGGGAATGATATGCTGAAGGCCATCGCCCGTATATTCAGGATTTGCTCAACGGCGTGTCCCAGGCCCAGGAATTGTGACTCATCTCCATGCTGATTTTTCAAAAAGAGACGGCACTCCCAAATAGTAAAAGGCCCATCGCGGCTATCTTTTTGAGCAGGTCATGCAGTAACGTGCATTTGGAGCGAACGAAGAACACTTGAAGCATATTCCTGACAGTGGAATACATTAGATTCCGCGAAAGGGGTACGGATGCTGCGACCTAGTCCGGTGCATGCGCATGATCAGCGGAAAGAGCACACAATAAGGAGAACACTTTCGGTGGCGTCACCAGGTTTGCAAATCGGAGATTACCGCATGCGTTTGTGCCGGCGCGTCTGCAGGACGCCAGAACCACTGATTATGATTTGTGGGCCCGAGGCCAGCAGGCTGGGCTGTGCAGTGCTTTGGGGTACCGGTATCCCCAAATATTCGTGTAAAGTGAGTTGGGTAAGAGTACAGAACGGCCAGTTGTAACGTCGGGTTTGCAGTTTGAGGCGCTGTCATTGGCATTTGATGGCGATGTGTCAATACAGTGTTATAACATAGTGTGGCCCGGGTGGGCCAAGCTTGCAACGTTGTCAGAACCGTTCATGAATACGTCTAATTTTGAAGCGCATGGGTGGCAATTATTCGGTATGGCCCGATCAAGGACGACATTTTGTTGCTCGGACGCATGGAATTTGATTACTATCCAGAAGCGTGTACACTTGCAGCGGTGCGTACTAAGACGTCTTGCAGGGCCTGGGGGACACCCAGAAGAGGACAATGTATCTTGGATCCGGCGAGCGGCGCGAGTTGCTGAGGATAAACATGGCAAGCATGAGTTGCATGTTGGTTGGAAGTATTTTGCAAACAAATGGGGGTAGGCTCGGCATATAATTTACATGCCATACTTACGATTGGCGAAACGATCGCTTTCATGGAGTGGCCACGCGTGGCGGGACGATCGATCAAGGTTGACAGTCGGACGCCCACTTCGCTTTTGGCCAGGCCGGTCACCATACTGGAGGACGAGTCGGTATTGTATGTTGAACATGTTGGCTGCATCTCGTGGGCATGCGCGGCATCGAATGATTTCGCATGGCATGAACATGAGTGGTCTATCATGTTGCGCGCTTGGTGATTACCGCACGACGTATCGTGCAAATGTTCAGGCTTCGTACTTCACCTGAATTTGGCGCGACCTCGCACCGCTTGGCGTTCTTGGAGGGCCTGCGCGCGACCAGTGCGCCTGCCTTCCTTGCAACAAGGGCGTCAGCTTCCCGGCGGTGGCAGCTTCGTTCGTTTGTTTGTTCTTCCTCCTCCTTCCCTCCCTGTTTCCCTTCTCCCTCTTCCTTCCCTCTCCCCTCCCTTCCCAACGTCCTTCCTCCATTCCCCCTCTCGCCTCCTTCCCCCCTGCCTGCCGGCGCGCCGCTGCCGCGCACAGGCGCCTGAGGTGGCGAGGTGGCCGCGGGATCTACCCTGGACGTATGCCGTGGCTGAAGCGGGCGGACCCCGCGGGTTTTCTCGCGCCTCCGCCCGCCTTCTCTTACGTTTCCTCCATTCCGTGCCCTCCTTTCCATTCCCTCCCGCCCTCTTTTCCGTCCTTTATTCATTCCTGCGCCTCCCCTCCTCTTTCTCCCCCTCCCCCTCGTCTTCCTTCTCCTTTTCGTCCCAGTGGTCATTCTCCTCCCCCTCCTCCCTCTCCCCCCTCCTCTCTCCCCATGCCTCCGACCGCCCTTCAGGGCGTCTTCGGAGATCGAGGTTCGAGGATCCAGAAAAAACGCTTTTGGGCCTTTCCTGCGCCTTCTCGTCGCCACGGTTGGATGCGCCTTGGGATTCGGGCCAAAACGCACCCCAGGAGAACTTCTGGGAATGAGTTTTTCAGCTGGGGGTTGCGACACCCAGACGTTCGGCGCCTCGAGAAAAATCTCGGGGCGGCTCGGCCCGTCGTCAATTTTGGCTTCGGGGGCGGGGTAACGGGCTTCGGGGCCGCCAATACAGAAGGCCCGGGATGGAAAGCCGGCCCCAGGGGCAACGCATTGCCGCATCGAAACAGAGTGGACGCGCTGGAATTCCGAGGCTTGTTGGACGTTTTGTGGCATCGTTTCTCACACCACTCGTGTGGTTTTGGATCCTCGTTTTGAAGAGACACGTGCCCCGCGTCCTCACCTCCCGCTGCCCCTCACTCCGTTCTCCCACCCTCCGCGCATGTCCTCCTCATCGTCATCACCATCACCATCACCATCATCATCATCATCATCATCATCATCATCATCAGCATCATCATCATCGTCATCATCATCACCCATGGCTACCATCATCACCCATGACTATCATCATCACCACCACTGTCATCATCAGCGTCACCAACATCGTCGTCATCGTCTTCGTCATCGTCATCGTCGTCATCATCGTCGTCGTCGTCACCATCACCACCACCACCATCAACATCTTAACTACCATCACCATAACCACCATCATCACCACTATCATCGGCATCATCATCATCATCACCACCATCACCAACATCATCAGCATCATTATCATCCTCATTATTATCGAAACCAGCGATATCATCAACACAGTAGTAATCAGCATCATCGCTATCAACACCATCATCACCATCATCATCATCATCGGCTCCATCATCAAGGTCATCAGCATCAACATCATCATCATCATCAACACTGTTATCCTCAGCATAATGATACTATGCACCAGCTTCAGTATCAGCATCAGCCTCAGCACCAGCACCACTACCATCATCATCATCATCATCATCATCATCAGCAGCATCAGCATCAGCATCAGCATCATCAGCATCATCATCATCATCCTCATCCTCATCTTCATCCTCATCTTCTTCGTCATCCTCCTCCTCCTCCTCCTCCTGGTCGTCACCACCACCACCACCATTATCATCATCATCACCACCACCACTATCATCATCATCATCAGCATCATCACCATGGTCATCATCATCATCATCATAACCATCATCAGCCTCGTCATCACAATCATCAGCATCATCATCACCACCATCATCATCATCACCATAGTCATCATCATCATCATCCTCATCAGCATCATCATCATCATCATCACCACCACCACCATCATCATCATCATCATCAACATCATCAGCATCATCATCGTCATCATCATCATCATCACCCATGACTACCATCATCACCCATGACTATCATCATCACCACCACTGTCATCATCAGCGACACCAACATCATCGTCATCGTCTTCGTCATCGTCATCGTCATCATCGTCGTCGTCGTCGTCGTCACCATAACCACCACCACCATCAACATCTTCATTACCATCACCATAACCACCATCATCACCACTATCATCGGTATCATCATCATCATCACCACCATCACCAACATCATCAGCATGATTCTCATCCTCACCATCAACGAAACCAGCGATATCAACAACACAGTAGTAATCAGCATCATCGCTATCAACACCATCATCACCATCATCATCATCATCATCTTCATCGGCTCCATCATCAAGGTCATCAGCATCAACATCATCATCATCAACACCGTTATCCTCAGCATTATGATACTATGCACCAGCTTCAGTATCAGCATCAGCATCAGCATCAGCATCAGCATCATCATCATCATCATCATCAGCAGCATCAGCATCAGCATCATCAGCATCATCATCATCCTCATCCTCATCTTCGTCGTTATCCTCCTCCTCCTCCTCCTGGTCGACATCACCACCACCACCATTATCATCATCATCATCAGCATCATCACGATGGTCGTCATCATCACCATCATTATCATCATAACCATCATCATCCCCGTCATCATAATCATCATCACCACCATCATCATCATCACCACCATCATCATCATCTTCATCACCAACGTCATCACCATCATCCTCATCATCATCATTATCATCATCATCATCACCACCACCACCATCATCATCATCAGCATCATCATCATCATCGTCATCATCATCATCACCCATGACTGCCATCATCACCCATGACTATCATCATCACCACCACTGTCATCATCAGTGACACCAACATCATCGTCATCGTCTTCGTCATCGCCATCGTCATCATCATCGTCGTTGTCGTCACCATCACCACCACCACCATCACCCTCTTCATTACTACCACCATAACCACCATCATCACCACTATCATCGGCATCATCATCATCACCACCATCACCAACATCATCAGCATGATTCTCATCCTCACCATCAACGAAACCAGCGATATCAACAACACAGTAGTAATCAGCATCATCGCTATCGATACCATCATCACCATCATCAGCATCATCGGCTCCATCATCAAGGTCATCAGCATCAACATCATCATCATCATCAACACCATTATCCGCAGCATTATGATACTATGCACCAGCTTCAGTATCAGCATCAGCCTCAGCACCAGCACCACTACCATCATCATCATCATCATCAGCATCATCATCATCATCATCCTCATCCTCATCTTCATCCTCATCTTCATCGTCCTCCTCCTCCTCCTCCTGGTCGTCATCACCACCTATCATCATCATCACCACCACCACTATCATCATCATCAGCATCATCACCATGGTCATCATCATCATCATAACCATCATCATCCTCGTCATCATGATCATCATCATCAGCATCATCATCATCATCACCATCATCATCATCATCATCACCATCGTCATCATCATCCTCATCATCATCATCATCATCACCACCACCACCACCATCATCATCAGCATCAGCATCATCGTCATCATCATCATCACCCATGCCTACCATCATCACCCATGACTATCATCATCACCACCACTGTCATCATCAGCGTCACCAACATCATCGTCATCGTCTTCTTCATCGTCATCGTCATCATCATCGTCGTCGTCACCATCACCACCACCACCATCGACATCTTCATTACCATCATCATAACCACCATCATCACCACTATCATCGGCATCATCATCACCATCACCAACATCATCTGCATCATTCTCATCCTCATCATCAACGAAACCAGCGATATCAACAACACAGTAGTAATCATCATCATCGCTATCAACACCATCATCACCATCATCATCATCGGCTCCATCATCAGGGTCATCAGCATCAACATCATCATCATCATCATCAACACCATTATCCTCAGCATTATCATATTATGCACCAGCTTCAGTATCAGCATCAGCCTCAGCACCAGCACCACTACCATCATCATCATCATCATCATCAGCATCATCATCATCATCAGCAGCATCAGCATCAGCATCACCAGCATCATCATCATCATCCTCATCCTCATCTTCATCCTCATCTTCATCGTCATCCTCTTCCTCCTCCTGGTCGTCATCACCACCACCACCATTATCATCATCATCACCACCACCACTATCATCATCATCATCAGCATCATCACCATGGTCATCATCATCATCATAACCATCATCATACTCGTCATCATAATCATCATCATCAGCATCATCATCATCACCATCATCATCATCATCACCATCGTCATCATCATCATCATCGTCATCATCATCATCATCATTATCATCATGATCACTACCACCACCACCACCACCACCACCACCACCACCACCATCATCATCATCATCATCATCATCATCATCATCATCATCATCATCATCATCATCATCATCATCATCATCATCATACGTTTCGAAAGCCGCACAGGATTTTCAAGCTAAGGTCTCTGTGGCAGCGCCCGCATAGGGGCCGCGCCCCTATGCCGGCAAAGCCCTCACACGTCACTACAGCGCCCGCATAGTTGCCCGGCCCCATGTCGGCACACCCCTCCCACGCTTCGTGGCCACCTTAGGCAGCTCCACCTGAAAGGCTCCAGTGGCAGCGGCCGCACGGCGGCCCCGCCCCATTTCGGCACACCCCTCACACGCTTCGTGGCCCCACGGGTACCTCCATCTGCGGCCCCAGTGGCAGCGCCCGCATAGCTGCTCTGCCCCAGGTCGGCGCATCCCTTACACGCATCGTTGCCCCGCAGGGAGCTCCACCTGAAGCCCCAGTGGCAACGCCCGCATGGCGGCCGCGCCCCATGTGTCGGCACGCACCTCACACGTTTCGTGGCCCCACAGGGGGCTCTACCTGAGGCCTCAGAGGTAGCGTCCGCATAGCTGCCCCGCGCCATGTCGGCTCACCCCTCATTTGTTTCGTGGTTACATAGGAGCTCTACCGAAGGCTCCAGTGGCAGCGCCCGCAAAGCTGCCCGGCCCCAGGTCGGCACAACCCTCACGCGTTTTATGGCTCCATAGGGAGCTCCACCGAGGGCTCCAGTGGCAACACCCGCGTACTGCCGCGCCCCTATGCTGGCACACACCTCACACGTTTCGCGGCCCCACGGGGAGCTCCACTTGAGGGCCCAGAGGTAGCGCGCGCATAGCTGCCCCGCGCCATGTCGGCTCTCCCTCACACGCATCTTTTCCCACATGGAGTTGCACCTCAGGCCCCAGTGGTAGCGCCCGCATAGCTGCCCGGTACCATGTCGGCACACCCCTCGCAGATTTCGTGTCCCCATACGGAGCTCCACCTGAGACCCCATGGGCAGCGCCCGCATGGCGGCCGCGCTCCATGTTGGGACACCCCTCACACGTTTCGTGGCCACAGAAGGAGCTCCACCTGGGGCCCCAGTGGCAGCGCCCGCATAGCTGCCCCCCCCCACACACCTCATACGTTTCTGTGGCCCTATAGTGAGCCTCGCCCAAGGCCTCAGCGGCTGCGTTCGCATGGCGCCACCTCGCCCAATTCGGCACGCCTCTCAGACGTTTTGCGCTCCCAGAGGGAGCTCCACCTGAGGCTCCAGTGGCTGCGTTCGCATGGCGCCACCTCGCCCATTTCGGCACACCCCTCACGCGTTTGTTGGGTTTGACGCTTTTGGCGAAGCATTCAGCGGTCCCGCAGGGTCCTCATAGTGTTTTCATTCATTGAGCGATCCTGCCCATAATCGCCTTGTGTTGAGAAAGGGTTGCTTTCTTCACCAGGCTAATCATTCTTCGTGGACAAACGCTCCACTTCTCGTTCTCGTCTGGCCAAGCTCCTGCACCCGCCACCATTTCTGGCCAGGGCCATCCTGGGCCCCAGGATGGCGCATAGAACCTCCTAGTCGAGCACGCCAAGTTGTTCAGCGTCCCCGCTGATCAGCGTGCGAGAGTTCTTCGCATCGAGGGTGAAATCCGCCTCATCCGTGAGAGGCTCTTGAGGGCCACGTTGGAGTCGTGTAAGTTGGACGGGAAAAAGGTCAGGCGCCCTGCTGCCCCTGCCGTTGCCCCTCCCCCTGCACCCTCAGTCGTCGCCTTTTTCCAATCGAGTCTTGCTGTGGAGTCTTGTGGGAAAAAATGCTCGAGGTGTCATAGTAGTTGCTCCGAGGCGAGCAAGAAACAGTGGCTATCATCGGAATGTTTTTCCCTAATAGGGTCCCTCACGGTCGGCGGTTACACCTCGCTGGGGGCTGGGTCCACCCTTCTCACCAGATGGTTTACCACGAGTCGTTGGCCCTTTGGTTCTGCAAGTCCTGTGGGAGGTTCTTTTGCTGTAACCTTAGAGGGCTTGGCGAGAAGTGTTCGTCCCCCGACTCCCCTGTGACCAAGACACGGCGAGAATATCTCGACCGTATCTCCAGGAACCTTTGGCCTAAAGTGCTCAGCAAGGCTGAGCGAGCGGCTCGGGGTCGGTCCTAATTAAGTTGAGGGGGGGGGGGGGGGGGCGGGGCCCCTAAGTGGGTGTGTGTGTGTGTGTGTGTGTCAGCGGCGAGCGGCGCGCGCGCGCGGCCGCCCCCGACAACGGCTTCCTCACGCAGGACAGCCCACGCACCCGCGCCGCCCGTCCTCCCCCTCGTGTTTCGGATTCGCTTCGCGATCGGTCTCATCTCATCTCACCTCATCGGCCCTTGCCCTTGGTCCTCCTCGATCCTCGATCCTCCTCGTTCTCCGGGGTCTTTTCGATCCTCGATCCTCGAGCCCTGGGGCCCCTTGGTCCTCCTCCCCCCCGCCCCTCCGAGCAGATGGGCGGGCTCTCCTCCGGAGGGGTGCCGCCGTTCCAGCCCGCCGCCCTCCTCAATGACCCCGTGCTGCCAGGGGTGTTTTGGCCTCAGGGTGTCCCCAGGATTTCCAGGCAGGCCCTGGGGGCTCAAAGAGCGGCGCAGAGCGCCGGGGGAACCTCGGGCCAAGATCACCTCTGACCGCCCTCGGATGCAACTTGCTGGCCTCCGAACAGACGGGAAGGGGATTCCACGACGCAGCAGCTGACCGATCAGGAGGAAGAGGAGGATGAGGAGGAGGAGGAGGATAACCAGTGTAAACCAAACGCGCATTGACGACGTTGCAATATCCCTCACTCCAAGTTGTCTTCATTCACATCTAGAATCATGTATTTTCATTGCGGGAAGTGCCCCATTGGAAGACAACCGTCTGATAATCCTCAGTTCCTGGACCTTAAACGCCGCGAATCAACTTTACTGTTGCGTCGAGACAATCCTAAATCTAGCCAGGACGCCATTCCTGTGACGTCAACACCGCGAATCAATCTGACTGATGCGCCCTGACAATCCTAAACCATGCCAGAGCGCAATTCCTTGGACGTCAACGCCGTGAATCAACGTGACTGTTGTGCCCTGACAGTCCTAAATCGTGCCTGGGCACCATTCCTGGGGCTCAACCCTAAGAATCCTTGGAGCTATTGGCAGAGTAGACGAACGTGCGCGGCGCTAAAGCGAGAACCACATCTTGAAACATTAGCATGCCGAAGGACCCAACCATAAGCAGTTGTGGATACCGCGTTCTGGGTCCATCGTTCGACGGGCTTCCCTATGGGGCCACGAACCGTGTGAGGGGTGTGCCGAAATGGACGGGTAACCGCATGCGAACCCTGCCAGTGGGGCCTTCGGTGGAGCTCCCTACGGGGCCACGAAGCGTGTAAGGGGTGTGTCGAAATCGGCGGGGAACCGCATGCGAACCCCGCCACTGGGGCCTTCGGTGGAGCTTCCCGTGGGGCCACGAAACGTGTAAGGGGTGTGCCGAAATGGGTGGGGAACCGCGCGCGAACCCTGCCACTGGGGCCTTCGGTGGAGCTCCTTATGAGGCCACGAAACGTGTGAGGGGTGAGCCGACATGGGCGAGGAACCGCATGCAAACGCAGCCACTGGGGCCTCGGGTGGAGCTCCCTATGGGGCCACGAAGCGTGTGAGGGGTGTGCCAAAGTGAGGGGGGGGGGGGGGGAGGGGGAGGAGGGGGGAGGGGGGAGGAGGAGGAGGGGAGGAGGAGTGAGGACGGGGGGCGCTGTTTCTTCAAAACGAGGACCCAACACCACTGGAAGGTTGGGAATAATTGCCTTCAACCCGTGAGACTGCAAGCGTGTAGAAAGAATCTGCACCACGCTTAGGCGAGAACCACATTTTAAAAACTACCCGCCCTCCATCTTTGAAACCGGGGTGCACTTCGAAGACGAGTGCGTGCCGCGCTAAGGGGAACACACGTTCTGAAAACGGCCCGCGCTCCATCCTTGAAGCTATTGCAAGTTTCAAGCTTCAGAATCATGAGCGTCGATGAGTTCTCAGGCGAAACGCCCTACCCGCCCTACAGACTCGTCTGGGGGTGCGACAGGGGGAAGTTATTATCAAGGATTCGGGATGGGGGAGGAGAAGGAAAGCGGCAAGCGGAAGGAGGAGGAGGAGGAGGAGCAGGAGGAGGAGGAGGAGGAGGAGGAGGAGGACGACGAGGAGAGGACGAGGAGGAGGAGGAAACGGAATGAGGAGGAGAAGGGCAGAAGGAGGA